ACAACCCCTGTGCTGTGGACCTGGTCACATCTGCTTCTTCCAAAGGCTCATTAAAAGCCCCAATCCCAAAACAACCTCCCCGAGTGATCTTTCCAGATGTCACTGAGGCGCTGGTGTGGTCCTGCCTCTCTCTCTGCCTTCAAGAGCTATTCTGACACTCACACTCAGATTCTTCCTTTCCGGCTGCAGCGTGTGTAAGTGCCTGTCCTTTTCACTTTTTATATCTTCTGCAATCTGCCAGGTGCAAATTCTTGGAGTCCAGGGAGGAGTGAATACTTCTGCCCATTTACCCACATCCTTCCTGCCACATCACACTGGCTTGCCTCTGGGGACTCAACTGCTAGGCGTGCCTAGAGCTCCGTGGGAGAGTTGCTGCTGGTCCCCCCTACCTGTGCCTGTGTCCCTGTCTCTGTCTCCTGCACACTGCTCCTTGCCTCTCCACCTCCTCTTCTGGGCCCCCTCTCCTGCCTGCTTTCCTCTGAGTGATCACTCAGTGCCCACAGGACCTACAGGGCATCTGAACTGGCTTGTGTTATTTCTGCTGTTTCCTGGCTTCTGGGTGCTGCCTCCCACACCCCCATCTCCGGGGCCCCCCACACTCTGGGAGCACACAGCACACCCTGCCATTATCTGCCTCATCCTTATTGTTAGATTTTGTTTTTACCAAAACTGCCTCCTCCCTCCTTCTCTGAGATAATTGCCCTCTTAAGGTCTCCAGTATAAAAACCTCCCACATCTACTCCCCCCAACCCCCTGTGTGCAAGGCCTTTGGGTGGGAATATTCATCGATAACCAGCCCTGTCCCCTCCCCCAGCCGCTTCCTCTCAGAGGTTCCAGGAGTGGCCGCCTCCGTCCTCGCCTCCCTCGCTGTCCCTTGCAGAGCCCCCAGGCCTTGGGTGAGCCAGTAGGGGAGGCCTGGGTGTGGCTATTCTTCATAATCTGTCACAGGTGCCCGAAGCCTGGCTCTCCTCTTTAGGTGTGAGAGTCCCTAGTGCCATCTGACTTTCTCTACCACCCCACCTGCCAGAATGCAGGTGTCCGAGCTTTTCCTTGTTTTGAGAAAAATATCAGAATTACTGGTTTCATTCATTTCCTTCCCACTCTTGGGATTTGGGGTCTGCCTTTAGTAACTCACCCTTTCCCTGTTACTCTCCAGTAACGTCCTGCTTTTGATTTGACCATCTCATTCATTATCATCTCATTTATCCACGTGTTTATTCAATAGGAGAATCTATAGCACACAAAGCCCAGGGTGGGAGTACAAAGGACAGAACCATAGGTAACACCACGCTTCTTATTTAATCCTCACAGACACTGAGGCTCAGAGGCTAAGTGACCTGCCTAGGAGCTCACCACCTTGCAAAGGGGAGTGGAGAGCTTTCTAGACAGACACAGTTGACGGCAAGGCAGGGCCCTTGAGCTCTGCTCTACCCAGAGGAGGTAAACCTCACCTGGGAGCTTTCCTTCCCAGGCCAAAATGTGCCCAACTCTGAGCTGGCCCAGCTCCCTTGTACAGATGCGGAGACCCAGAGAGGGTGAGCCACAGGGCCAGAGCCAGGCCCAGTTGCAGGGTGTTTGTGGGCTGCTTGGTGTTAGGGAGAGGCTGGTGACTCAGATACATGGGGTTCAAGCCTCGACTCCCCCACTCTCCATCCATGCTATCTTGTAAACTGAGGATACCTTTTGAGACTCGGCCCCCTCATCTGTCAAGATCTGTTGTTCATCCTGACCTGTTTGTGTTTAGGGCCCACTCTCCATCCATGCTATCTTGTAAACTGAGGATACCTTTTGAGACTCGGCCCCCTCATTTGTCAAGATCTGTTGTTCATCCTGACCTGTTTGTGTTTAGGAAGCCCATTCCTTGCAGGCTTTGTGCTGGGAGCACAGCCAGCCATGGTCCTGTCCCCGTGGCACCAGCAGTCCCTGGGAGGAATGGGCACTAATCAAGGATTCACACTATTTGGTATAAAATGAGCCCTAGTGCTTTGAGAGCATGAAGTGGGCAGGTCTGGCAAGGTGGGAGCAGCCCACTTTGTGACTTTGTGTGGGTTAGACAAGCCTCATTACTCCCCACTGTGTGGGCCTCAGCTTCCCCATCTCTAAAGTGCGTGTGATAGTCCTGCCTGCCTCTTCCCTCCTTCCCGTGCCTCTGCCTTGTGTCCTGAGGGTCAGACCTTGAAAACTGTGGGCAAGAGGAGAAAATGATGAACAGCAAGGATTTGGCGTCAGATTCCACCACTTTCTAGCCCTGTGGCTCAGCCTCTCTGACCCTCACCTATAAAGTGGAAATCTTCTCATTTTAAGTTAATGAGCTCATGGGCTCATCCATCAGGTACTTGATAGCCCGGTGCCCAGCACTTGGCAAGTCCTTGACTGCTTTTGTTAACATTAAGATGGACTGGGGAGCAGAGACAGAATCTGCTCAGGGCAGAGCCCCTGGGGGCCCCCAGGCCAGCTGGGGCCTAATGTGCCACCCCTCTATTTGCCTTCCCATAGGAGAACTCCGACACCTTCCTCTTGGCTGCAGACACAGACTGGAAGGTAGGTCAAGGCTCAGCCTCCTGAGGTGTGGGGCCGACAGCTGGCCAACCACTCACCCCTGCCGGCCAGGTCCCAGAGGAAGGTCACAGGCATTCTCTGTGACCCCAGCCTGGAGGAGCCTCCAGGACCAACCCCACTGCTCACAGCCGCTCTGCCTGCCCCTGCCCAATGGAGAGATGTCTGAGGGGGAGGCGGTCTGACCCTCCTTGAGCAGGACAGTGGGTGGGGGGAGTCCTGGGGGGAGTGAGGACTTAGCAGGGAGTAAGGGGTGTTGTCATCCGAATCAGCATTTTCCTCCAATGAAAGCCAGGTGGATGATCCAAAATAGCTCCTGTTTCCATGGCAGCAGTTGCCGGGACAATCATGCCCTCTTTAGTTGGTTGCCAGATCCTCCGTGAAAACTGAAATCACTCTTTGTTGTTGCCCCTCTGCATGATGATGGTCCTCACTTGGCCAGCTATTTCTCCCCTCTGAGTCCCATAGTGACCGTTCATTTCAGGGTCTCAGAAAACATCTACCAGCAGACGTCAGGGGAGCCTCACCAGTTCCCTAGCACCCTGGCCACCAAAACATGCTGAACAAATTCAGGCCCTTCCTCCTGTCTAGATGGAACTAGCCTCCAGGCCACTGCCTTTGTCTGAGCCTGACCTCGATTTGGGTCAGTCCCCCAGCCCCATGGCAGCACCAACCTCGCGGTCTGGACGCAGGGGTGACACGGGAGGTGGGGCTGCCTGCCAGCTCCTCCCCCAGGGCGCACAGCATTTGGGCCTGTGTGTTGGTCTCTTGGTCACGCGCCATTTCAAGGACGTGAGGGGAGGCTTTAGGACAGCCGGTGTGCACATGCTCAGGTTCCCTGGGAATGTCATCTTCAAACACAAAGGACTCTGGATCTAGGAAAGAAGGGATGAGATTGCGGCAGCAGGGAATAAATGTGAGCCCAGGAGGAGGGGTGGGAGGGGAGGATGGGACAGCTGAAGGTCAGTGCAGGCACACCAAGGGGGTACGTGGACAGACAGGCCCTGAGGAGGGGGCTGGCAGAATAAAATCCCTCCACGACGTGGGAGGCCAAGGCCGGCAGCGTTGACTGCCAGCCCCCAACATGCACATGCTCGCTGGGGTCATGGAGGAGGTCCCCACTGCACCCTGGGTGCCCAACTGTTTCTACTAAGCCTCCCTCTCTCCCCACTGAGCCCCTGTGCATCAGCCCCCAGATTGCCAGGCCCACCCCAGGGCAGCCACTCCCCGTGTGTGAGACGCCAGTTCCCAAGATCCTTTGCTTAGTAAAGGGCAGCCTGGTGTCAAAAGGCTCCTTCCTGTCCATCCTGGTTACACCACATGGAGCTAGCTTTTTTTTTTTTATAGAATAGCAGCCGCGAGAGTGGCCATTATCTGTACCAAGGCCTGGCAGGGATTTTATCCCTTGTTTCGCAGTGGCAGGTGGCAGCACTTGCCTCAGTGGGCCTGGCCAGTAGGAGAGGTAGCAAGAGAGAGGGACTGAGAGCCAGACAGACCTGGGATGGATCCTGGCTTTGCCACTTACAAGCCACTTGACCTCCAGCACCAGTCACTGCGCTTAGCTTCCTCACTTTTACAGTGAGACAGGCAGCGTGGAACTCCCTGAGTGTGAGGTGATGGTGCTCACAGGCCTGGCACTTGGACACTCAGCTGTGACAAATGACCACCAAAACATGGGGTCAGAGCCAGACTACATGGCCGTGGTTCCTGGCTCTGTGCTCACTAGCTGCCTGATGTCAGGCAGATTACCAAACCTCTCTGTGCCTCATCTGTAAAGTGGGTATTAAGAGGATAAGATGAGGTAACACATGTAAAGGGCTTGAACAGAGCCTGGCATGTGGGAGATATTCTAGTACACGTTTGCTTCTCTTAAGAATATGACCTTGGGCTCAGGCTGCTGAGGCACTAGTAAGTTCCACTGCTTACTAGCTGAGTGGGAAAATTACCTAACCTCTCTGTGCCTCAGTTTCCTCACCTTTTCTCTTGGGTTCATGAGGCTTACGTGTGTTATCCTTGCAACTACCTATGCAGGAAGCACTGCTGTTTCTCCTATTTATAGATACGGAGGCTCAGAGAGGTTGACTGACTTGCCCAAGGTCATACAGCAAAGAAGTGACAGTGGCGGAGCTGTGATTGGCACCAGGACTTGGCTTGCAAGACCTGAGCCTGCCTTGTCTGGCCACAGCAACTGCATAACCTCCAGCAAAGGGGCCAATAGTTTGGAGAGGCACACAGATTGTCCTATTTCTCCCCTGGCCTGGGCAGAGGTGGGGTCAGGGCTGGAGCAATTTATGTAGTTTTTTCTCATTCTCATAGCAACTCTGTGAGGAAGGCATAATTCTTACACAGTTGAGGAGCCTGAAGCACAGAGAGGTTAAAAAACCTTGCCAAGGTCACCCAGCTAGTGAGGGGTGGGGCAGGACTTCAACCCAGTCTGGATTTGCAGCCAGTGAGCTGAGCAGAAATGGGGCCATGGTTTGAAGTGGGTAGTGTTAGAGGTCAGCTTTTTACCTGGGTCTGATTGTGCGGAGAGGCCACTCAGAGCAGAAACTGGAGTGGGCATAGGATGGGGTGAGGACCGTGGGGGATATGGAGGACTTTGTGGGAGTGCAGAGGGCAGGGCTGTGCCTTAGCAGGCTGCCTCAGTTGGAGCCTCCTCCTGTGCCACGGTGGCTGCAGGAACAGGAACAGTGAGCATGGCCAGGATGCGAGGGGCCAGACATGGGACAGGGCAAGTCGTTGGTGCCCTCAGGCAGAGTGCGGTGGCAGGTGTGGAGCAGGTCACCAGGCACCCAGGGACAGGGAGTTGACAGCCTTGCCTGAGGGCAGCCGGCCGGTGTGCAGGACTGTCAGCATGAATGGGCTGGGGCGAGTGGTGTGTTTCTTCACCAGTGAGACAGAATGGGGGCACGGGCGCCCAGCACCCCTCCTTTCCTTCTGTCACTCCTGTTCTCGCAGCTCTTGGGTTCCCTCTTCTGCTCGCCTCCATGGCCTATTTCTCCTCCTCCGCCCTCCTCTGGCTCCCCTTCTCCTCTGTTACTCCACCTGAATGCCTGGGGCTAGCTCACCACACAAATCCTTGCTGCCCAGGAGCACAGGGCATAGAGTCTGAGGTGGCTTGTATGTCCTGCTCCCCAGAGACCTGGGAGCCATGTGTCACACTAGTTGGCTCCAGAAAGAGGGCTGGGGGGGGGTGGTCTGTGGGAAGTGGGCATGTCAACTTCTACAGGCTGTCCCCCATCCCTCCCCAGAGACCTGGGAGCCATGTGTCACACTAGTTGGCTCCAGAAAGAGGGCTGGGGGGGGTGGTCTGTGGGAAGTGGGCATGTCAACTTCTACAGGCTGTCCCCCATCCCTCCTCCTTTCTCTGGTGGCCTCAAGCCCCTTGCAGCAGGATGGGGGGTGGGGAGGGCAGGGCTGGTGTGTACCCCACCACACCCCTGGTCCTGCAACCTGCTCTGGGCCCTGGCCTCAGAACCCAGCTCTCAGCAGTGTGGGTAAGCCCTTGGGCATACATGTGGACAGAGTGGGAGCTGCCCTAGGGGAGAAAGACCCCCGAGGAGGATGCAGAAAGAGGAGTCCCCTGAAGCACGATGATGACCCAGGTTGCCCTTAAAAACAGTGACTCTGCAGGTCTCCACAAGGTTAAGTGATCCAGGCCTTCCTGATGGGAAGGCTGGGCCTGGGATGCTGGGCTTGGGGCCCTCTCAGACCTTCTGTACTCCCCAGGGCATGCATATATGTCCTGCCCTGCCCCACATGGGTATGTGTGACTGTGAGAGGCCCTTGTGTGCCTGACATAGGGTGGACAGTGTGTGTGACCTCAGCTCCCGTGTTCCCAGGCCGCGGTAAGCAGCTGCAGCTGTTGCAGTGTGCCTGTGTGCTGGGTGCATGCAAACTGCAGGGGCTGGGGACCATCGAGAATGATGTGTGGCTGGGTGGGAGGGGCAGGAGCAGGGCTGGGCGAGTGAGAACCTCAAAAGCCAATTGCAGCCAGGTTTGCTTTCCAGCAGCCAATCTGGGAGTGGGGGCTTTGAGTGAGCGAGTGGCTGCTCAGAAACCCAGCGGGGAAGAGGGGCGGGTCTAGGCTGGGCCAGGATCCACATATAAATGGCCCAGGAGCGGTGCCCCATCACAGAGCCGACTGTCTCCCATTCGAGCTGCCCCCTCCCTCTGGACCCGAGTGACTCAGGCCTTTGTTTGCCCTTCCCGGTCGAGGCGGGTTCCCTCCCTCGGCAAGATGCCGGAGTGCTGGGATGGGGTGAGTGAGGGCTCTGGGGGCAGCGAGACTGGCAGGGAGGACGGGGCATCTTGTGACCTTCCCAGGGTGGAAGGGGCATCCTTCTGCCCATGTCTTGGGGGGCAGCTCTGCCTTCGGTCGCCTCAGCTTTGGCTCCAATGGGGCTCCAGTCTCCCTGGTGCCCAGGTCTGCAGGAGTAGTTGCTAGTAGGGGGCAGCTGCTAGTCCGGACCTGAGAGAGGAGGGAGGGGTGGGATCTCTGCAGGAAATGGAGCACACTGCCTGACTTGTCTGCATGGCCTGTGTGCGCCCATGTGCCAATGTGTGTACATCCCACTGACCTGTGCTCTCTGCCTGGCGTGTGTCTGCCTAGGTGCCTGGGACCACCTCAGCCCAGGGGGTGAGGAGGTGTCCTCTCTGAGCACCCAAGGCTGTGTTCCTGGCCTGGGTCTGCCGTCCTGTCTGTGAGGGGGGTTTCTTGGTTATTTGGATGGCTGCGCTAGAGTGCGATCCAGCACAAGGACAAGCAGTGTCTTTCTTCCTTCTTAGTTGATTGCGCAGTCCCCAGGGCACTGCGGCGCCAGCAGGGCAGAGGCAGAGAGGTCTGGGGCTCCGCGATAATAAAGACGGCTTTCAGGCAGAGGTCCCTGCGGGGGAGGGGACGAGGAGAGGTCGCTATGCCTTATTTTGTAGGTGGGGAAAGGCAGCACTGGAGCCATGAGTCCACAGGGCTAGGGGCCCCCAGGTGGCCAGGGCGCCTCCTCCCGCCCCCCGGGCAGCAGGTACCCAGACCCCGTGCCGTTCTGACTCAAGGAGGGAGAGGCAAGGGCAGACCTACCCCCCACCCCTACGCCTGTCCTGCTGAGCCAGCAGACTGTGGGGTCGCTCTGCACCGAGGCGACGACGTCAGCTCCTACCCACCCCCACAGACCCTGTCCCCCGAATTATTGAAGTGGTCGACAGAAAGAATCGCACCACCACCGTCCCCGCCGCGCGCGCGCGCGCCGAAGCCCAGCTCAGAGGGCCACTCTCAGCCCTCAAGGTCACGGCCAAGGGAGACGAACAGGCTGAGAGGGGATGTCACAGCCCCCTCCCTTGCTGCCTGCAGCGCTTCCCGCAGGCGCCCACCTGGAGGGGAGGCGGGGCCTGGGCTTGACGTCACCGCGAGCCAATGGGAGCGCTCGGCCCTGGGGCATGGGGGACTCAGAGTGCGTCCCCTTGTGCAGCACCCGAGAGACCGGGCTGCTCGGCTTCTATCAGGCTGAGCTGGGTCTGAGCTCCCCGCGGAGGGAGCTCAGCGGGAGGGCTCCGCCAAGGTCACTGGGCCGCGCGGGACAGGCAGCCTGGCCAATGCCCCCATGCCCTCCTAGGCCCAGCTGTTTGCATCCCCTGGAGTTGAGCCTTAGTAGGGTGACTCCTGCGGCCGATCGCCGCGGCCCAGGGGGACGGGGACTGGTGGCCACGTCAGTGCTGGGAGGGTACAAGGGGCCTTCTCGGCAGCGGAGGGCAGACACTCCCTCACACAGACCCGCGGGCGGTGGTGGTCTGGGTTCGGAGGACACTGCCCTGGGCCTGACTTCTGCCCTGCACTGGGAGCGCTGGCCCCACCGGAGAACAGCCTTAGGCCATCGCAGTTCCTTCGCCTGCCTGGTGCGCCCTTCCTGTCACCAAACCCTGCCCTCCAGAGTTGAGAGAACCTGAAGTGACTGATGGGGAATGCCGCATGGACCTCCAGCTGGGACAGGCAGCTGTGGAGGGGCTACTGCTCAGAAAGGCTCTTGGAGGGAACTTGATCTCCTCCTCAGAAAATGCAGCCTGGAGTGCATGGTCCTGACCCGAGACTGGCATCTGACAAGGCCCTCCCTGCCCACTCTGGGCTTGACCTTGGGCAATTCATTGTTCCTTTCCTGGCCTCAGTTTCCTCCTCTGTGCCTTGGGTGCATGTGAAGAGTAAATGAGAAGATGCATGAGAAGGATCTGGTCAGTGGTCAGTGAGCAGGAATTGCTCCTGGATCTGATGGGCCCAGAGGGGAAGACAGGCAAGGGAAGTGGGAGGCTGTGGTGGCCTGGGCCCACCTGCAGGACAGCAGGGACATAATCAGAGCAGAAATGTTGCTCCCAGGATGTGGCCACTGGCCATGGGGTTGGTACCACCTTGTCACTCCCCACTGGAGAGACAGGTCTGGTCAGTGGTCCTCTGAGACCCAAGAAAACCAGTCCCTGAGAAGCTGGCTCCTGCCACCTAAGTCTCCAACTCATGGAGCCACCCACTGTGATTCCTGGGGCTCCCCATGGTACGGGGTGGGGCTGGTTATTCAGCTCTAACATATCCTCTTAGAGTGTCCCCATTGAGTTCCAGAGGGACCAGCAGCAGGGCATCTCCCCAGCTTGGGGGTGCCCAAGCACAACAGCCCCCTTCCCCGGGCCTCTCCAAGTGCTTATCGCTCCACAGACAACAGCTTTAGTTCTCACAGAGTCCCTATGAGATGGTTCCTGATGAAGGGGCTGAGGCACAGAGAAGTGATGTGCCCTGCTTAGAGTCACACAGGAAGGGGCAGAGCCAGGTCTTCCTGAGGGACTGATGAACCTGAGCAGCAAAACCAAGGGTGTGAACTTGAGAGGACCCCAGAGTGGGCACTGCCCAAAGCCTTTGGGGAGGGGTGGACGTCTAAGCCGGCCCTACCTGAAGGGAGGCCGTGGGGAGGCTTGGGTCACAGGGAAGGGCATTCAAGGTGGAAGGAACGGCATGAGCAGGAGCGAGGCAGGTGCGAGGGCCAGGGGCTGAGCTTGGCTGGTATGGGGGTATTTACTGAGGATTCTAGGCAGGGCTTTTGAGGCTGTTCCCCTTCAGGAGTAGGAAGCCCCTGAGGGTTCTGAGTTGAGGAGGGATTCAGACTGGGGTGGCAGAAGGTCTGGAGGGGCTGCAGTGAGACAGAGAAAACCAGCCTCACTGGGACCCTCAAGGGCTGAATGCAGGGAAAAAGCTGGGTCTGGGCAGTGGCAGCACGATTCACTGGCTGGTTTGCAGAGGGGACCGGAACTTTCCTGTTTATTTAGACCAGTTCATGTTGTCCCTGTGCTAAACACCCCTGAGAAGGGGTGCTGCATTTGGTCTGTCCTCTCTGGGGGCTGCTTGGGGTGATGAGAACAGGACGCCCTGGATAAGGGTTCAACTGCAGGCCCTACAGCCTCCAGGCTGCCCCACTGCCTCATTCCCCAGAAGAGCCAGGAGTGGGGGCTGCCCAGAGTCCAGTGCTGTCTCTCCCCACCAGGAACATGACATCGAGACGCCTTATGGCCTTCTGCATGTGGTGATCCGGGGCTCCCCCAAGGGGAACCGCCCAGCCATCCTTACCTACCATGATGTGGGCCTCAACCGTAAGTGCAGCCCAGCCTTGTCCAGCCCTCCTCTGCTTGAGTCTGCCAGAGCAGTGCGGCACACCCCCCCACCTCCACCCCGAGCCCTGCAGGTCCCCCCTCACACTTAGCTCTGTGGCCTTAGCCATCTGGCTCAATTTCCCTGCTGGACCCTAAGGCTCATCTCCTCCTCGCCCACCCTCTCAGGGCCTACTGGCCTCTGTTTCAATTCCCTACCGCCTCTGCTCAGCAGCTGAGGGGTGTGTCTTTGCAGACAAACTGTGCTTCAACACCTTCTTCAACTTCGAGGACATGCAGGAGATCACCAAGCACTTCGTGGTGTGCCACGTGGATGCACCCGGACAGCAGGTGGGGGCGTCCCAGTTTCCTCAGGGGTAGGTGCCCAAAAGCCCTCCATCTGTCCCCAGCTCTGCACCCTAGGCTGAACCTGGGACCTGACTTCATGCTCTGCCTGCAGGTACCAGTTCCCCTCCATGGAGCAGCTGGCTGCCATGCTCCCCAGCGTGGTGCAGCACTTTGGGTGAGTGTTCTCCTAGCCCCTGCCCCTGTGCTGGGGGTCAGGGGGTGCCCACCACTACCACAGAGCCACCTTGCCCCAGATGAGGGCTCCAGGCTGTGGGTAGGACCTACTCTGGATGGGATTCATGGGAAATGGCACCCCCAGCCCTAAAGTGACCAGCCGTGCTCTGCACCAGGTTCAAGTACGTGATTGGCATCGGAGTGGGAGCTGGAGCCTATGTGCTGGCCAAGTTTGCAGTGAGTCTTCCCGCCCCCACCCGTATACCCCAACACCATCCCAGGGCAGGTCTCTCCCGGGGTGCCCCCTTCAGCTGCAAGGAACTTTCCCTATTCTTTCTGACGCCTTCTCCACCCACTTCCTCTTCCCATAGAAACCCCCCTTTTTTTTTTCCTGCAAGGAAATTAATTTTTTTTAAAAAGAAATTATCTTTTCCATATGTTTCCTCAAAAGACTATAAACTATAGTTTGTTTGACCATTATCCAAGGCCAAAATTTCTGTTAGCAACAAACTATACAACTAATTGCTCTAGCCACTAAATAAGGATTGTCCTTCACTAATTAAGGGTATATTTAAGCATGAATAATCTTCTTAACAAAAAATTACACTTATTAAGGTTGTGAGGTTTAAAGAAAGTCACATTTCAAAAACATCATGTCGGTTAGGAGCCTGAAAGTTTTCCATCTCTAAAAACAAAAACTTTATTTTTGAGGAGTCAAAACTGGAATTTTTAACTCCAGTTTAAATTTCAGAACTTAGCCATTTTGCTAACTGTTGACCATACCTTGCCCCCCAGACAAACTTAATGTAGCTGTAGTATTATATGTATACTGGCATTTTCCACTAAACATGGGTAAACAATTGAACAGAAAATGCAGATCATTTTTACAGCATCTAACAGAGAACAGGCTTTGAAAAGGTCAATTTCTTACTTAATTTACATCACTACTAGGGCTTCATTTTCTGTAAAAGCAAAGAAACAACATGTTAAAGATTTTAACATGTTTAATACTCAGTTTTGCAACAGTGCCATCTTCAAAGATATATTAAAAGGGGTGGGAAACAGTGATACAGTCATAGATGCTAAATAAATCAAAGAATGTTTAATGGTTTGGGGTAGGGAGAAGGACACATGAGGCATCTGCAGGTGAGAACCCATGCACGTTCCCAGGCGTAGCCAGTTGGTTCTTCCAACAACGGCATTTCGACGCCCTTAGAAAGCGTTTCTACCACCTCTGACCTTCTCAACCACCTGAGAGATGAGCAGGGCCAGAATGTTACAACCCATTTGCCATTTGGGAAGACTGGGGTTCCTTGCACCCTGTCCCCTGCCCCGCCCAGCCCTGTCTGCCCTCTCGCTGCAGCTCATCTTCCCTGACCTGGTGGAGGGGCTGGTGCTGATGAACATCGACCCCAATGGCAAAGGCTGGATCGATTGGGCTGCCACCAAGGTGAGCACGGTGCGCCTGGGATGGGGGTGGTGACGGTGAGGGTGGCACTCACACTGGCTTCTGCCTCGGTCCCCCTACAGCTGTCCGGCCTGACTAGTACTTTGCCCGACACCGTGCTCTCCCACCTCTTCAGCCAGGTAAGGGGTGTAGACTTCTGCAGACCATCCTCAGATAGGAGCTGGGGCCGGCCTGACTAGTACTTTGCCCGACACCGTGCTCTCCCACCTCTTCAGCCAGGTAAGGGGTGGAGACTTCTGCAGACCATTCTCAGATAGGAGCTGGGGAGGCCAGGCTGGGGATTGCATGGCGCCTCGGGCAGTGGCTGAAGGGCCTGGTTCTGCCCACTTTCAGGGGCACCCTGGACCCTCCCCCCCAACCCAGCAGGAGGAGGCAGGTGGTGGCCATTTGGCATCTGAACTGTCTCATTTCATATTCTGTTGTTACCTATGATGCCACAGTATTTGAAAGACAGATGGGGGTGGGAGCCCTCCTCCTAAGGTCCCACCCTCTCCCCCCACCCTGTTGGGAGGGGGGCAAGGGCTGCTCTGGCCGTGACACCTCCCTGGCCCCTCTGAGCCCGCGTCCCTCTGTCTGGTCCCCTCAATGCTCACCTCTATCCCCTCTCCCCGGGCCCAGGAGGAGCTGGTGAACAACACAGAGCTGGTGCAGAGCTACCGGCAGCAGATTGGGAACGTGGTGAACCAGGCCAACCTGCAGCTCTTCTGGAACATGTACAACAGGTGTGGGCGGAGCGGGGGTTGGCAGCACTGGGACCCAAGCACCCCACTGTGGTTGGGGGACCCTTCCCTACAACCGCCCATGGGAGGAAGCAAAGCAGGCAACATGCTTGCCCCACTTTGCAGGTTATTGAGCCTAGGAAAGGGGTCGCTTCCTGCCCAGAGTCACACCCCCTTGAGGGGTGGAGGGGGAGCAGGGCTTTGGACTCTGGTCTTTGAGCTCTTCCACTTCTCCTTTGGGCCGTTGCTGGTCAGGAGCCCTGGGAGATGTTAGCGACATCTCTGACCCAACCCTTCTGAGCCTTGGTGCTGACATCTGTAAAATGGGGAGGAGGTTGAATGAGGTTTTCAAGCTGTGCTCCGTGGAATCCCTTTGGGGTTGGCCCTGCAACCCCCTCAATTGCCTGCCCTCCTCTTTCTCCTACAAATAAGTATTAAGCACCTGCTGTGTGCATGGTGCTGGAAAGACAATAGAGAAGAGAGAACCAGGTTTTGCCGTCCCGTATGGTCCAGGAGACCGGCCAGCAGCAGAAACTCTCACAACACAGGTGGCAGTGTGCATTGCTCTAAGGGAGGCAGAGAGCAACATTTGAGAGCCCACATGGCATGAGTTGGGTGGTCTGGAAAGAAGCCAGACCTGAGGGGAGCCCCGAGGCCCCTTTTATGTAGAGCAGGTCCACATGTCCCTGTTTCACCAATTGGCAGTGTTGGGCTTGGGAACACCCCACCCCACCCCCAATTGAGTCCTGGGATGTCCACCTCTGCTCCTTTGTCACAGCCGCAGAGACCTGGACATTAACCGGCCTGGAACGGTGCCCAATGCCAAGACGCTCCGGTGAGTGTCCCTGGCCCTCCAGCCTGCCTGGCCTTTGTCCCCTGTACCCACGCCTGAGAGCCCTTTTCCTCTGTCTGCAGCTGCCCCGTGATGCTGGTGGTCGGGGATAATGCTCCTGCTGAAGATGGGGTGGTGAGTGAGGGACTGTGTCCTGGCTGGGTGTTGGGGGGAGGGGATAGGTAGGAGTAAGGACCCAGCCCAGGGTAGCCTCAAGGCCAGGCGCTGGACAGTGGGCTTCCCATCTGCTCCCCACCATCTTGCCCTGCATCACCACTGCCTGGAGACGGGGGGTGCTGGGGCAGGACTGGGCCACCTGGTGGCTCCTTCTCTCTGCCTTCCCAACAACACAGCCCCCACCTCCGTCTCTACCCACTTCAGGACCAGAGCCTAAGAGCTCTCCTTTCTCTAGAATTTGATTGGCTCATTAGGAAAAAAGTAATCCATACACACAACAGCACAGTCCTCCTTTGACCACCATTCACACCCGTTGTCTTTGGGGGCTTTGTGTCTCCTCTCCTTTTGGGACTCTGGGAGCAGGCAGCCTGGGGATGGGGCAACCCATCAGCACAAAGCTGCCTGGAGGCTTCAGGGTCCAAGAGTGCCCGGAGCACCCCAGTGTGCCGGGAAAATACCAAACCTTCCTGTGCCCATGAGGAAGAGCCATCTTGACCCAGGCAGCAGCCTGGGAGTCTCTCACTGGCCTTTGGCATGCCTTACCCCACTGCCCAACTGCTGTGGCCCCTGGGGCTTTCCCAGACCACCAATGTGGCCCTGGGCCCTCCAAGAGGGCATTGCCCAGCACTTGCCCCATGCCTGCCCACCAACAGTTGTGAGAAGGGTCCACAGGTCTCAGGCCCCTCAGGGAACAGCTAACTGATCTCCAGGGCCTTGGGGAGAAAAAAGGCTGGGGGTGGGCAGCCTCCCACAGGTCCTAGGTGCTGGGTCTACCTCTTCTTCCCTGCACCTCCCCAGCTCTGGGCCTCTAAGCATATAACCTGCCTTAGCAATGCAGAGTGGGTAGGGGTCGTCACTGAAGCTGGCTCCTTGCACTCCCCAGGTTGAGTGCAACTCCAAACTGGACCCAACCACCACGACCTTCCTGAAGGTGAGGCCTTCCTCTCCAGCCTTGGGCCAGCTCCCCCTAGCCTATGGGCCCATCCTCATGGACAGGCCTGCCTGAGGTCCCGGCCAGGGTGGGAGCAGGACAGTGTCTGGTCAGTGGAGCCTGGCCAGGTGGGAAGGACCTGCTCAGTTCACCCTGCTCTCTTCCTTGCAGATGGCAGATTCCGGGGGGCTCCCCCAGGTCACACAGGTGAGACTCTTGGCCCTCCCACCCTTATATTGCCTACCCTGAGGGTGGGGAGTGAGGGAAGCCCTCCCCCTCTCTCCTAATCCCAGGCAGCGACTCAAAGCATGTGCCTGTTCTGCCCTCCTGCAGCCAGGGAAGCTGACTGAAGCCTTCAAATATTTCCTGCAAGGCATGGGCTACAGTAAGTATATCCCCACCCCATGAAGACCTAGGGACTGGTGG